GTTGTTTAAGAAAAGCTGGACTACAAGGGAAGATGTTTAATATAATACAATCAATGTATTCAAATATCAAGTCATGTGTACGTAGTGATTATGGTGTTACTGATTTTATCGATTGCCCATCTGGTTTACGTCAGGGATGTATACTGAGTCCTCTGTTATTTTCGTTTTTCATAAGCGAATTATATTATGAAATCTCAAGTAACGGCAAGCATGGTATACAGATGTATCCTGACATCCTTGAACTTCTTATGCTCCTTTTTGCCGATGATGTTATTTTACTATCTGACACTGTTATTGGTCTACAGAATCAGTTGAATGTATTAGATAAATATACTAAGGAATGGAATTTATCTGTAAATTTAGATAAGACAGAAATTATAGTATTCAGAAAAGGGGGTCCTTTAAATTTTAGGGAAAGATGGTACTTAAATGGACAACAAATTAATGTAGTTAATGGTTATAAGTATCTCGGCATAATGTTTAATTCAACACTAAATATGAACAAATGTGTATCTGACTTATCACTGCGAGGGAAACGAGCTTTACTTAATATAATGTCTGTTTCACATAAACTTGGAGTTATTACTCCAAAAGTATTTTTCAAATTATTTGATACTCAAATACAGCCAATTTTATTGTATGGATCTGAAGTGTGGGGTTATCGAAGATATGAATGTTTAGAAAGAATTCACCTACTGGCATGTAAAAAGTTTCTTCGCGTTGGAATAGCAACACCAAATAATATGATATATGGAGAATGTGGAAGATACCCACTTTACATTAATTCACAAATAAAGTGTTTAAAATATTGGTTTAATATCATCCGTATGCCAGAACATCGGCTTCCGAAAAAAGCTTATAACATGCTCTTTCATTTAGATAGTATCGGTAAGGTTACATGGGTATCGCATATTAGGACACTATTATTCTCACATGGATATGGGTATATATGGCTTAACCAATCTGTTGGTGATCAACATTTATTTCTAAATGATTTTCGTAAAATAGCAATAAATATGTTCTATCAAGGGTGGCAATGCAACTTGGAAAATAGTTCACGTTATGATTTGTACAGAACATTTAAGACTCTATTAGAGCCAGAAAAATATCTATCAGTTTTAACAAATAGTCACCTAAGAAATGGATATATTAAATACAGACTTGGCTTGTCAAAACTTATGATTAACTATGGACGGAATATATCACTTGAAAGAATACAAAGAATTTGTCCATTCTGTAACTCTGCAATAGAAGACGAAATACATTTTACCTTTGAATGTCCTTATTATGCAGAATTACGTACTAAATATATACCAGAATGTTTCTTATCTAAGACAAGTAGAATAGCTTTTGTTTCTATTTTGTCATCGAATGATGCCGATGTAATGTTTAAACTGTCTTTATTTGTAAAACATGGGATGGAACTACGAAATAACATGTTGAGTGGAAATTCATAATTTTAATTACCTCACGCTAGAAAGTCCTCATGATTATCACCGATTGTTAAATGAATGTTATATTTATATAATTTTTGTTGTATCTCCCAATCTGTAAATTCTCACCCACTGTATTTATCTGAACTTGTATATGGGCCGATGGCCTTTGATACAATAAACATCTTTGACTTTGACTTTGACTGTGAACAACGCCCCGCCGCACCAAAATAGAAGCTCCTCCAGAAGCTTTATCTCCCGGAGGAGAGAAGGAATGATACGCACTATACTGCCTTAAATCAAATTTGTCGGTTGTTTTAAGGTACGTTTCTTGTAAAGAAATTGCTGATGGACAAATATCCGTTGATAATAATTGCAGTTCGTTCAAATTGTGCCTAAGTCCTCGGCAATTCCGTTGAATTAGATTCGAATGATTCATGGTGGTTCTACCGGAGATCGTTCACGTAAACGTGAAGAGGAGTCACCACTGTTGTGGTGTGAAGATGGGGTGACATCCATCTCAAGAGACTCAAAGAAATTATGAACATCTATAGATGTGTCAGTGAGAGTGGGGATATTAGTTGTGATTTTTCTGTTTTGTTTTTTCTTTTGTTTGTTTGCCATTTCAGTTGATGGTTTGTTGGTAGCTGGTATATCAGGAGTGGGTGTAGATGGGGCCACAACCTGAGTCACAATGATAGAATCTGGAGACATTTCACCTGGGCTGACAGAATGAGTTGTTTGACTGTCACATGATGTAGTAAGAGGCAGCGGGTGTTCAGAATGTGTCCACGTCAAGTCCGTCTGACATTCTATAGATCTACTGGTTGAAGGGCGAGAGACAGCAGCAGCAGCAGCAGCATAAGATTGTTTGGATGAAGGTGTCCGGCTATCATAGAGTTTTTTGGCATAAAAGTAACTGATGTTGTTTTGACATTTGATTGTCAAAATGTCTTTTTTCACGTGTCCAAAAAGGGCAAGATTTAGATGATGCTACATGTTGACCCTTACAATTTGTACATGTCAGGTCTGCTGTACAGCCTGAACCATCATGATTTCCACCACAACGGTGGCAAACAGTCGGACGATCACATGATTTGGAGCCGTGCCCAAACTTCTGACATTTGTAACATCGGAGGGGATTGGGAGCATACACCTCCACTCCGATGTTAAAATAGCCTGCCTTAATAGATTGAGGAATTGTTGGATGAGAAAAGGAGAACAAATAAGTATTGGTGGGAACGATATTTTAACCATCTTTTCTATTGAAACGTTTCACTGATGTGACATTCTGTGCTTTAAGTTCTTCCAAAATGTCGTCTTCCGACATTTCTGCCAGGCAACGAGCTCTGTCGCGGATGATCCCCCGACTCGAATTCAACATTCTGTGTTCGGAAACAACAACTTCTGTGTTTGCAAAGCTAGTACAATTTAAAAGATTAATAGCCTGCTATCTCCGTGCACACTCCACCAAAAGAGAGCCGCTCCGGAGCCGTGAAACATTCTTCACCTCACCACAGATACCTTCAATGGCTTAAGATATGGCAAAGGGATTGATTTTCAAAGGTAGTTGATTTCGTGATTCCACTACGATAAACCGAGCCCAAGAATTTGAAGTTTGTGAAATAGAAGCATCGTCGTCAGATGAGAAAATCTCAGCTTCCAGACGTCTCTTCTTGTCACTGCGGTTTGAACCAGATATATAGTGAGCCATGATGAAATGAATTTATTCAGCACCCCTGCTCCCCACCCACCATGGAGTGCTACAAAGAGCGATGTTGTCCTGCACCGGATCTCCAACATGCAAACATCAGGGATACAGAGGTGGTATACTCCAGTAAAAACAACATGAATAGCTGCATTTGTCTATCAAATAAAATGCCAGGCTGGTTCGGCCAATGACAAGAAATTGAAGACATACAGAACTCAGAGGTCGAAAGTACCAGATTGGCCCATGAGCCACCGCCTTCTGGCGTAAGACTCTAGGCAATTTATTCAATCCAAAATTTAGAATTCCCACAAGTTATGGATGGCCAAGACCAAAATAGACATTAAAATACAACACAGGTGTGCATATACAATATTACGCACAGGGCCTGGCATGACCAGCCGATTGATAAGACCGGGCCCATCTTACCAACCGTCTAGGCGAAGTAAGGGTCGAAGTAGTGTGTTGGGCAAAGGAACACAGTTCCAGGAACCAGTGCCCTCAACTACCAGACTCCCGTCCTCCGCCGACACAGGGACGCAACCCACGGCAAACGGGCTGCCCACTTTGGTCGCCTCTTACGACCAGCAATGGGGTGCTGTGGAAGTATTCTACCCCGGTTCCACACGGGGGAAGAGCTATTGGCGCTACCCAGCACTCACCACGAGGAGGTTGCTCTTCACGAGTGCCTCGGGTCTTAAGGAACCCACAAGTCTCTCGGCTGAGAACTGTATAAGCATAGGCTTACAAGTAAGGTGAAATTGGGTTTAACGTCGCGTCCAAGATTATTGCACTTATATAGCGAAGTGCATGCACGTGTGTGTGTGGCTGCTTGTACTAGTCCGGACTGATGCCGATTTATAGTGCTAGCACACTAAGATACCATGCCGCAGTTTAACATGAATACCCCACTCATATACAGTATACTGACTCCGAGCCGACCAGTCCTTGTTTGAGCCCTTTAATGCCGAGCGCCAGACAGGGTAACAACAAGTACCATCTTTTAACGTCTTTTGGTAAGACGCGGCCGGGGATCAAACCCCGGACCTTCCGCTCTCCGGGCGGACGCTCTACCACTAGACCACGGAGGCGGTCCATAGGCTTACAGAAGGGGATGAGGGATGTACAGGGGGTGGATGTCTTATTAATATATGCCATGGGGTGTGTGAGAGAGACGAACTTTTGAGCTCTTGTATTACTTACTACTGACTTCAGCGCTGACTCCCCGGGACTACAGAAACAGGATTCAAACATTACAAGCAGGCCAACAAAAACACACAACCGGTTAAATTACTAAATCTTGGGAATCGAATCCGGGCTTTCAGTTTGACGAGCTTTAACCACTATGCTACCCTATCGGCTCTGAACAAGTTTTAACAACTCGTGGGGAATGATATTGAGGTTCATTGGCCCCGTGGGGATCCGGGTAGCATGTGTCCCCTGCACCCGCTTGCTAGTCGGAGGAGGCAACAAAATGGGGATTACGTGTAAGAATTAGTCCCTGGCAACCTATGCTTGGCTGATGGTGTATAGACTTGCCCCGACAGCGTGGATCGTCGCTCATAATGTCAATCACTGGATTGTCTGGTCTAGATTCGATTATTAAAACCCGTCGTCATATAGCTTGAATGTTGCTAAGTGGGTCGTTAAACAACAACACGCTAAGATTCATTGTTCCCATAAGACGTTAGACACGCGTTTGACATATATGTATATGTTATGATAAAGTATTCTCATGGGTTCAATATGACCTATGAATACAACACTCAAGTAGGTGCAGAAAAACATAAAGTCTTACTTACTGTCTTTCACATGTCACGTAATCTCAAGATTAAATCTCCAAATAAATTCATGTGTCACGGCGAGAACTCGCTCAGATCGCAAGTCCCTTCGCACATCGGTGTCCTGTCTCTCTGCCAAAACTGTGAGTAGCTGATTGTGTGCACAACAGGGAAATAGTCAGACTCGGGTCCTTGATAAAAGTTAATTGGGTGAGCAATTTGGGTTATCAAATTTAACATGACGAGTGAAAGATCTATCACAGGACCAAAAGACGGAGTTTACACCATGGAAACAAACGCAAATACATAAGGAAATGCATGCTATGACCGGATTTGCATATGTTTCCGAAATGCACTAACTTTGGGCGTTTATTTCATATGAAGCAACACCTTTGATACATATGATCAACGTGTATTGTCGTATGTACATGCAACATTGTCATGAATGCTATGACCGCCCTTGCAGACATTTCCAAGCATAAAGGCGACTATGCTTGAGGTAAGAGGCGACTAACGGGATCGGGTGGTCAGGCTCGCTGACTTGGTTGATGCATGTCATCGATCCCATTTGCGTGGATCGATGCTCATGATGTCAATCACTGGATTGTCTGTTCAAGACTCGTTTAGTTACAGACCGCCGTCATATAACTGGAATATTGCTGAGTCCGGCGTTAAATAACAAACAAACCAAACCAAATCCAAGCATAAATTCAGAAGTTGATACCCCCAGTATATACTTGATTATGGATTGTTTCCAATGCATTCCTATTAGTTGAAATAGGTGCTGAAATTTCCGATTCTATTCTATGTCTACTTGGGTTAGAAATATGGACATTTCCTTAGGTGGAAACACATTTGTAAATTTGTAAGTTTTCAAATGTTTTCATGCCTTAGAAAGTTATGTATCATTTCGTATGTCAAGGACATGTATTTGAATAGCTTTTATATGCTCCTATTACCGGTACTAAAACTAGATGATCATATGTTTCCAACATTTGAAATATTAGGTTCACGTTATTTTATTTTCACATGTGCTGATACCTTTGCCATCAAGGATCATGTGAATGGGTGAGTTAGTATTTAACGTTACATCAGAAATATTTCAGCCATATCGTGACGACAAATCATACATAAATAATACATATATGTACATATACTGAATTTTAATCAGACATCAATGGACAGTACACTAACTAGAATATCACAGATTTGATTTATAACTAGTTGGGAACATTAAAATGAAGAAAGTATAGTCAGTAACACAATATAAAAAGTACCTTTGCTTCCTAAATGGAGCCCGATATGATTTGTACAATCCTTTAGCCACTGGCGATAGTTTACCAGTTAAGCCAAATATTATAATGACGAATATACTACGTTTAAAATCTGGCATGCATAAAAATACTTCGAATGATGTGGAACTTACATACCCTCTTAGGGGGAAAATAAATTGTACGCTACTTCAACCACACCACCCCCCCCCCCCCCCTTTCCAGGGTACAGCCACTAACAATCATACTAATTAGCACTACCAATATATAAAATGACACACTACATGTATGTACATGTACATCAAATTTATGAATTAATTCTATGTCGTTTAAAAAGCACAATATTAAATGAGAATTTGCATGACTAAAACGGTGAATTATTTTATCCCTTGTGATGGGATAATCAATACAGTAAAGCAGGACATGCTTGACCGTGATTCTTTCATCACAAGGGGTACAAAACGGAGGATCCTCACCTTTCAATAAATATTCATGGGTTTAACTGCTGCGGCCAATAATAATTGACTCCTCAAATATGGACTGACAACCCAAGTAGGTGTAACCCATATTTGGTTCAATTTCATGTAATTTATTGATAACTACTTGGGTGTCCCACTTCTTTTGCATCAGATGACGGATGTAACATATCATTTATACATCTATTTAACATCAGGTTTATAATTACTGTGTGGGATGGGAAATGGTGTCACAGATTTGTTGAGTCCTGCTATTGCAGCAGCATCGGTCATTGTGTTCCCAATGATACCAACATGGTTTGGTAACCGACAAAAGACGATGCCTTATTGGCCACTAGCAGGATCATTCAATAATTCAAACATTTGGATTTAAAGTGGATGTTTAAATGACAGATTTTAATAGCCTGAAGGCACCGAAAAGAATCTGAAAAAATAATGAATTGTTTATGTTTGGATTGGTTATAGATATATTTTCGTGCTGTGAATATGAAAATGTTATCTGGCAATCGTGAAGATATAGTTCTGGATCCAATGACTGTTGCACTAGTAACTGCGCCCCCATCCACCAATCCATCTGTAAACATAGTTGTATAAGTGTCATATGTTTCTTAATTCATTGTATTCTCGTTTATAAATTAGTGGGTTTGTTTTTTATTTCTTAAGTTAAGTTAATGTCAGGTCGACATTTGGCTTACCATTTGCCATGAAGGCGATGAAGAAAAGTTGAGTGGGAGCTATATCGTGCAATTTAATATAAGAAGCAGAAATGGCAGATTTGATTCTTATTGTAAATATCTTCGTAGAGAGGATTACATCTGCAAATAAAAGCTAGATTTGACTGATTAGAAAATATTGTAAGGATAATTTCAGACAGCGTTGTTTAAGGGATGGCTCATCCGCCTCCACATAAGACTATGAATAGAAGAAGTTCAAAAGGCTCAAAGGATGATGGATAGTATCTAGTTTTTGTAAACTACTTTTACATGCCCCACCATAGACGATGAAGCCGTAATCAATTTTGAACGGATCACTGATCTGTATAAGTGTAAGGGGGTTGTTTGATCTCCTCCCAAATTTGAGTGAGTGAGTGAGTGAGTTGGGTTTAGCGCCGCTTTAAACAGTATTCCAGTTATATCACGGCGTTTCCCCCACTTTGAAATATATATAACTTTCGACAAATCGAGTGCCTTCAGGCATTTAGCTTTAAGTGATTTAATATGTGATAAGAAAGTTAAATGGCTATCAAAGATGAGTCCCAAGAATTTGACCTCCTTAACAAATTTGATAGGGGTACCATTCAAAAATAATTCCGGGTCTTTATGTAGCTTATATTTTTTGCAGAAATGTATATAGTTTTTCTTATTTAGAAAATTTAAACCCGTTTTCAGAGGACCACTTCTGAATTTTGTTCGGACAGATTTGTTAACTGCCTCTCTGTTGTATGCATATTTTTACCATGACAAGAAATGTTAAAATCATCCAAGAAAAGTTATCCATCTACCGAATCATTTAAAATCTTTGACAGACTATTTACCGCGAGACTAAATACCGCCTTGCAGGACACCCTGATCCTGATTTATAATGGTCAGTCCACACGGACTTAAAATTGCCTGTCGGTTAAACTGATAACCGGAAATTGATTCAACGTATTGTTTATTTGCAATAGCATTTTAACAAAGGATTCTAATAGTACTGAATGATGGTACTTCTATTTTTTCGGAAATCACATTGAATATTTGTGAGATTATTGGTTTCCAAATTCTAAACTACTATCTTTTATTATTTTAACCATGTTCCACACCTTGGACACGGGTGTGCGTGAATTAATTTTGGAGACATAGTTTGATGCTTATTTTGTTTATAAGCACGTCGTGCACAACGTAGATGTTATGTGCAAAGTAAATCGTTCTGTACAAGCTTGAAGATCAGTTTGAAGTGACACAGGGCTGTGGATCACTCCCTGCTTCACCAAAACAGTAGATCCTTCAGTAGGTTTATTACCCGGTGGAGAAAATGAATGATATGAAGTGTACTGACGCAATTCAGTTGTCGGTCTGGTTAAGACATGTCTCCTGGAGATAGATTGCTGACAGCGTATAGTCTTGTATTATTAGATGGAACTCATTAAACTCATTAAAATTTGTCATGAGACCTCTGCAATTCCACTAAATTAAATGATGTGTGTTCTTTTTGGGAGATAGGCCACTAGTACTCATGTTATGTGAGGGATACTTCCGTATCCATATCCTCGAGCGACCAACAGTTGTTGTGGAGTTGTACCGGATCTTTTAGTGCCTTTGGCACTCCGTCAGTTTGAATTTTCTTCCTTGGACTTTTAACATTATCGGATTCTGTAGTTTTGATTGTTTGAGGTTGGTTATTTTCGGTTGTTGGTTTGGAGATTCTCCTACTGTGCATGACAGATCTGTCTGACAGTGAACTGATGTCGTTGTTACTGTTTAACTACAGAAGCATAATGATGCCCTCTTAGCGGATGTGACTGCTCTTGCTGGTTTCCTGGCATCGGAGTAGCTGATGTTTTTGTTGATATTTATTTTTTGACACGACGAATTGAAACTTATATTCACTGCAGTCAGTTGAAGATGACATATGATCACCTTGACAGATGGAGCATTTCAATGACTGAGAAGAGGTGTTACCGTCATGATCAGTCTCACCACATCTGAAGCAAGTAGCCTCACGTGTACAGGAATTCAGCCAATATCCAAATTTCTGGCATTTGAAACAACGAGTAGGTCGTGGGGTGTAGAGGTTATTGAACTTGGTAGTACTGTAGCATCAAAAGTGAGAAAATACGTGTTGGATGGAGAAAAAATATTTCCGATATGTGAATCGTTTTGCTTCAATCACGCCTTGTCTGCGAAGTTCTGACACAATGTCGTCAATGGTTTCATAAGCTAGACTGCGAGCACGGTCACAGATTAAGCCCTCGCTGAAATTTAGGGTCTTGTGTGCAGAACAGCTAACGGGGATATCAGCTAATTTTGTGGAATTCATCAAGTCGATGGCTTGTGTTTTTCTGATACATTCTATCAAAAGGGCACCAGAACGTAATCTTTACATCTTTCAACTCACCAGCTTTACACCAGCAAGTCTTTTGTCAAAAAGAAATGGTGAATATGAAGCTAGAGTACGATCACGCTTAACTTCTAGGGCAAGGAAGTTTCCCTTGTGGAATACAATAACCATGTCACTATTTCATAATCAGACAAATCAAATTCAGAATCAGATTTTGATAGTTGCCGGGGTTTTTTTGCTTTTGTTTTTTTACCTATGGTTTTAATTATTGTGGTTCATAAAAACTGTCCCTGTCCACCCTGAGCGCCAACAGCAGTCTTCCAGCAAACGAACACCATAGGGATACAGGAATGTCAT